AGATAATTTCATATTGTTTCTCTAAAGAAAGTTCTATTTTTCAAGCGAAAGTTTGATGATCATCTAAATTTTTTTTTGTATCATTAACACTTATAAATTTATAGATGATTATGTATTATGTTACATTATATTTTTGAAAAATTTAAGGGGTAGTTATATAATAATTTTGGATGATTTCAGGTGATCAGATACTTATGACTGTTACTATATAACTTATTTGTAGTATTTATGGAAGTGATATATGATTTGTATTGCGTTTAGGAATTTAGACCTATTAGATTTAATATTTTTATACTCAATAATATATAATTCAATTTTTATGTGATTAGGTTCTTAGATCATTTCTTTAAAAATATTATATTTATCATATTTTACAAGTGAAATATATGATGAGAATATGAGAAATACATATCAGGTTATAACGAGAATTGTAGTTTAGAGTTAATTCTTTGTCTCAAGCTTAATGATTCATTATTTTAATAAATCTAATTCAGATTGCATGTTTGATAATATTTTCTATAAGATATAGATTCGTTCAAAACTAAATTATGAAAAATCTGAATTATTCTATATAATAATTTATTATACTGATTACTTTTGCTAAAAAAAAATAATAATAGCTAGCGAAACAAAAGATAACTCAGCATACATAATTAAAAGGTTAAATACATAATGCTATAATCATATTATTATTATTTTTAAAAATAAATATATTAAGAGAGTTATAGGTCAGCTAAGTAAAAATTATAAAGAAGTAGGATTTCAAGAAAGAAAATCTGCTAAATCCTAATTCATATAATAACAGTTTCTTTTCCACTACTCACTACCTAGGTTATTTATTTTACTATCAATCTATAAACTAATTTAATTTAAAGTACTAATATAACTATCCTTCTTTTTAATATTTCTTTTATAATCTTGTACTGTGATCTTCTTAATAATTCCTCCTAATAAATGAATGTCTATAGCTATAAAAAGACACATTTCTTCTAAAGTAAAATTATTTTCAGTCTTAATTTGATCAAAAATTTGCTTAAATTGATTTCAGATGGTCAAACTGATACCTGTAAACATTAATTGTCCTGAGCTTGCAGAGGAATAATTTAAAGTTTGACTTATTACGCTTTGTTGATCAAATTCAATCTCTTCAGTTCTTAGAACTATTGCATAACGCTGATTTATTTCACTTTGAAGAGTTATGATAGAAGTATTGATTGATTCAAATTTGGTTGCGACTCTACCAAAATTGTTATTATAGTTTTGAAGAACTTGTTCAATCTCATCAAGTCTCAGTAGAAGTATTTAGCATTATCAAGATTCTTTAGACCTTTACTGTAAAGTTTTCATCGTATGAGATAAGTTCAGTGTTAATTTAGCATGGTAATCAATGAGTTCAGTTAAAAACCTGGCATCATGATTAACAAGAATTTTATTAAATGTAGTATCACATGCAGAAGGATCAGAATTATGCTTGATATCAATGTCTTGCTTGGTGGTATATGAAAAATAAAACGTGATACTAATGAGTAAGTAAATGGAAATTTTCTTGACGAATATCAATAGGCTAACGAAATTCAAAAATGGAGCAATTTCTAAAATAGCAAGCGATAACATTTATAAGTAGAAATTAGTCTATTAACATATATACATGAATATAAGGGAGATATTATAGCATATAAACAAATAAACAAACCTTAATCATTAGAAATTAGATATTATTTTGAGTGTATGAATCTTTTTATTTATCGTGGGTAAGATTTATTAGCAGAGCAAATACAAAGTGCTAAAATTTGTTAAATTTTTATTCTTCCAAATCGTTAATTATTATAATGAAAGAGTAAAGGGATCACAGATATTTTTTTTCTGCCTTTTTATATAAAAAATTACAGATCAGAATTTATTTATAGATTTAAACAGGAAAGAACTAGAAATTGCCAGAACTTTTTATTACAAAGTAAGCCTATAGGAATGACTCAGATACATAAGTACCATTTTTCAAAATAAGAGTTATAGGCAACCCTTACATTTTTGTCATTTATTACTACAATAACACAATGAAATATGATGTTAATATTAATATTACCATCTCTAATAATAATTCCCAAATGTGAGTATTAATCTCCGTAATAGTAGACCAATTCAAATAATCAATTGATCTTCTAACTAATTCAATTAATTAATATTCTCATCTTTGATCTACATTCTTAAATGAACGAAAGTAGCTTAGCTAGGTATATGTAACTGTTCAACTGGATATAGATTCATGTATAGAGGGTGATCAAAATTATTCAGCCAGTTTGTTTAGCCAAAATTATGTCGATCATTATGTATTAATATAATATAAACAATATATAATTTTGTACTTATCATTACAATAAACAAACTCTTGTACTTCATTTTTTCTCAGAATTTTTCAGAAATATGAAGCCACTTATCCCAAAAACTCGTGACGCAACTATTTATAGCCATAATTGTGGACAATCAAGTCATACAATAGCTAAACGGTTGGAATGTGAAAAAACAACTATTAATGATATTCTTAAATGCCTTCATGAAACACATTCTTTAACTCCAAAAAAACAAACTGGCTATCCACCACTTCTTAATTTACCAGTCCAACAAGAACTTAAAATCTTTGTTCAAGAAAATGGTAAAAATTGTCGACTTTATTCAAAAAGCTTGCGACAGTTTGGACAGCTCATACAAAACAGCCTATTTCTGCTATTACTATAGTGGCTGTTACCTATAAACCGCATAAGTCTGAAATTTCAAACGTCGATTATCACGTAATATTCACGTGATTTAGCATTTATATGCGAAGCCATTAGCATTTTATTATTTCATTTCATTTAATTCTGCCAATACATATTCAGGAATACAACGGTGAGATTT